TGGGAGCCAGTGAAGCTGCTGGAGAACCGGGGTGATGTGGTGGAAGGAAGGGGTTCTGGTGATAATACGGGCTGCTGAAGAATCGCAGGTGTTCATGTAGCATGTATCGGGAAAATACCTCTCATCCACCACCTTTATATGTAAATACACAAAGACTGGTTTAGTAAGACCCTGTCAGATGGTTAATTAACCGTCATGTTTCCACGGTGGGGTGACAGATTAACAAGCAGCTCTGGAGACGTCTGACAAGTCACATTTCTCCTGGACAGCTCAACATAGAATTAGCGGGCTACATTAGCTACATGCAGATTTATTCTCTCCAAAGCAGACGGCTCAAACACTTTATTGGACGTGAAGCTCCCAGGTGGTCTGCTAACCTTTTGCTTTAGCCGTGAAACCCAAACTATGCAGAAACAGAGCTGTAGCATGTCTGTCGAGAGGGATTTTTGAGGCAGGAGAATAGACAAAAACGTATTAATAACAAACAAAACCTGTTTTTTTATTATTAAACACACTTTGGGGCAGCAGTAGCTCAGGTGGTAGAGCGGGTTGCCTCATGATCGGAGGGTCACGGGTTCGATTCCAGCTCCCGCCAGGGGTATCCTGCTGTTGTGTCCTTGGGCAAGACACTTCACCCAGCTTGCCTGTGTTAGCGGTGGTCAGAGGGGCCGACGGCACCAAATGGCAGCCTCGCCTCTGTCAGACCTCCCCAGGGCGGCTGTGGCTACAAGTAGCTTACCATCACTAGCAGTGTGTGAATGTGAGAGTGTGTGAAAGCGTCTTTGGGTGTCTAGAAAAGCGCTATGTAAGTTCAATGCATTATTACTTAGTACTGATTGTACTTGCCTTATTGTTAATGCAGATAATCAGATTATTTAATGAGATTATTCTTAACAGGTGGATTAGCTTTTGAACCCACTGGTTATCAAACCTTTTCACTTTTCTGAAGCTCCTCTTTATTTTGAAAGATTTTACCTTTAAAATAAACAAGATTTTGATGTTTCTGTGAATTACCAAAGCTTTCATCAGCAACACAGAAAATAATCTAAAAGAAAGAACATATCGAGTCCATTAAATCATAAAACATCACGTGTGTGTAATCTGTTTTCTGTTACGAGCGCAGGTGCACACTGATTACCTGGAGCCATTATTTGCCTGTCTCACTAGAGGATGCTACATTTCATTTGAGCTAAAAGGCTTTGTTATTGTTTTGACCCGTGTCTTTGGCAGATCCCAGCACAGCTGTACCTGAATTCAGTAATTAAAACTAATTTGTTGGTGCAAGTTTGTCTTCTACCCCGCGTAGAAAAACATGTCGCTGCTGCTTTTCTGTGAGGGTGTCAGACTGTTAGGACTCAGCACCCAGAACGTCATCAGTTATATTATTGGCTTGAGTGTCCATGATGGTTTAGCCGTGTTCATGTGACCATGTAGCGTGGGGTTACACCCACATATCTACATACGTTTACGGCACAACGGAGGTCATGACTGGTGCTGTTTGGCGTGCCAACACGCTCGCTTTGACTCATGCAGACCGATCAGGGCAGCAACAGATAACAGAACTCCTGCTTTGACCCTGCACATCACAACCAACAAGGACTCTTCTGATTGGCTGACTGCACAGTTATTTCAGGTTCATCACACACAGCTTCCTTTAATACACCTTCACAATAAGAGCCCCAGGCAAATTTTTTACATTGAAAAATAACCCTCATAACATTCAAATGTCACTATAATAATCTTTCATTTTGCTAGAAAAAAAAATCTGACAAAACAACACCGCCTTAAAGGCGTGGAACACTCATTTAATACATTTGCAGTGGAGTCTAGTAGGAATGAATGTTTTGTAGCTGGTACTCTTGGGGGGGGGGGGGGGGCATCTGCATCAGGAAGTAAAGGTCAGCTAGAGGAGAAAGTAGTTCAGATAGCAGGGTTTGGCATCTTATTTCCTGATATTGGGACATCTTGTCTCTGATTAGTTAACAGCAACACGACTCTACTGCTTGCTCCGTTTGCAGCATTGTTGTTTATCTCCATAAATAACAAGCCTGGAGGAGTTATGCTGCATGGTGGAGTTGCTAATGCTAACGGTTTGCTGCAACTAGTCGAGAAGTTCTCTGCGGTTTCCTGTACGCTTAACCAACAGCAGGCTTCCCCGTCGCAGGCCAAGATGGGTGAGTCCATGAATGTTACGTGACGGTGTGACGTGGTTCTGTCAGGCTTTTCAAATCCTACAGTTTCACTCAGGGGTGGGCAATATGGTGAAAAAATGATTTTGTTTTTGCAAAATAACAATCCGATTTAGTCACAATTTTTCATTTTCAACAATTCAGCCATTTTAGATGTTATTTACCAGTAAAATACTTACATTTAAAAGTACACCAATTCACAGAAAGTAGGATAAAAATCTTACAATTCCAATATCTATCTATCTATCTATCTATCTATCTATCTGCAGCTGAGAGCTAAAGATACAGTCTCAAATGTCTCACAGAAACTTTAATTTAATTAAATATTTATAATTAATGTAAAATTATTTAAACTCTATCTAGAGGAGGCTTATATCCTTTCACCCACAATATTACCAGTAATTATTTCTTGTCCATAAAAAAATCTATCATATTAAGCTGAAATGATAATGTATCCATATCTCATGCCTCTTCTCTGGATTACACTCCCTATTACACTCGATTTGTGCCTCACGGCTCTCCGTAGCAGTTTCCTGTCTACACGGGCGATGGGTCTGGCATACACAAAGCTCTGGTCGGCAGCCATGATGACGAGGCTCACTAAAACACACACACAAGCGCTCCCAAATAGCCAAATGCAAAGTTTAGAGCAGAACATTGACCCAGAGGTTCCCTGATGGAGCAGACGCGTGAGAATACATGTAATGCCGCTAAGAGACGGAGCAAGCTAGCGGCTAATGCTAGTGGCTAGCTGCTATAATCGATTTTGGTGTGCCTCTTCAAAGATTTAGAATTGTTTATTTTTGCATCTTAATGCATCAGTTATTAGATTATTTTCTACCAAGCACCCCAGCTAAACAAACCAACATGCTGCCCTAAACTTGCTCTGATTGGTTCACCACTGTGTCCGCCGTGCCAACAGAAGCAGACTTGCAAATAGCGTGACTCGGCTGAGGAAAAAACATGTGCCCATAGAAGCATCCAGAAATAATGGCACAGGGGATAGAACGCCAAATAGACGGTTCTACGGTCTTCGAGCTTTGGTAGATCGTCATCACTTTATCACCATCATCATCACCATCAAATCGTACTATTTTCTATCAGAAGCTAAAGCAGGAGATAGGTGTAGGAGACTATTTTCATGTTCAGCCTGCATGAAAAAACTCAGAGGGACCGATTATAATCAGAAATCATATTTAAAACTGGTTTTCAGTGTTCCACACCTTCAATGCTGTGTGTTGAGTTTTTGTTCTGCAGACCATTATCATTCTGTTACATATTTGTTTACTATAGGAACATGTCAAGGGTTACCAACAAACAACATGGGATTGAATATCAGATCGAGTGGCTGAGTAATAAAACATACCCTGATAATATTCAATATTTTTAATTTCTCACTTCAGGTAGAAAAAAACATTAAAAACAGCTTTTTATGTTTACTTAAAGAGCAAGTCACCCCCTACAAGAAGCGTACTTCACTCCCACTTCATGTTTGAAAAATGCAACAAATGCTGTTGCCTAGCAGACCGAGAGGGTGGAGCCGCTAACAAATACACACACTCACGACATTGTGACATCATAATGTACCAGTTTACATCATAGCATACCTCTTAGCCAATAGCGGTGGCAGATTTAAATTCAAATGCAGTGAAGAGTTTTTACCCGACAACGGCACAACACTGACAGTTTCAGACAGAAAATTTTAATTTGAACTAAAATGCACTAAAGTGCAAAACTATTGTCTACACGTGTCTGCAGCACGATTAGACATGCATTTATATAGTTAATCAGAAAAAAATAGTTGATTTGGGGGTGACTTGCTCTTTAACATTCAGTTTAGGTGTTAGCTTGTGTTTCATCATCTTACAATAAACTAGCTTATTAGGCTAGCATTTAGCCAAAAAAAACTTTAACAAATAAAATGTGGCGTTTGTCTAAAAATAATAGAAGTCTTAAATAAAAGAATGTAATAGCTTTCATGTGAGTGTTTTGTCTTCCCGTAACATGGTATTACTGTGTCAGATTGTGTACTTGGAAACAGGAGTCTTTAGCAGTCCTCTAGTGAGTTTTTGTAATTGATTTATAGATTTATTTATTTTTTTGCTTCTTTAAATCTTTTGTAAATAAAGTCGTATTATTAACGCTTTCAGGAACCGCTGGGCTCAAGAAAAAGGAACTTGGCATTGTTTTACATGATAGGATAAAGATTATTGTTATGGAGTTTGCTATGACTTCCTCCACCTGTATAAAACCACGAAATGATCACTGCAATGTAAATTAATACGTTCAAAGCAGCCTTTGTTCTTTTATCAACTTAAACTCATATTATTCTAAGTTGGTTCCTGACCCTTAGTCACTAAAGGCCCACCAACATAACAACAAACTAGTTCCTGGTGAGCAATACTGAGTAAACACTGCCCTGTGCAAACAATAAATTAAATTCTTCTTCTTATCAGATAGCCATGGCACTGCTGGGTCAAACTTTTCCTGATCCCTTCTTCCACCGCACATTGAATGAATGGCGCACGTGAAAGATCCACCACACCAAACCAAACCACTGTGCAGTTTCTGAACATCTCTACAGCTGATCCATCTTATTCCAAAGTGACAAAGTCAAGTAGGAGGACATGCGTTGAAACGCAGACTAAACAGAAACCTAAATTTGCTCCGCTGTGCTACAGGGAGTGGGAAATCCAGAGTAATTGCGTAGGCAAGCTGGTGAATCATTGCTGTGTGGCAAAGACAACAAATGCAGAAAGAGGGCAGCGAGTGTTTAAGAGCAATGAGCATCGCGGTGGAGATCGGTCTTACCTGCCCTGTTGTAATCTCAATAACCGGTCCCTGTGAGGGCCTTGTTGACATTTTTAAAGACTTGCGGACAAAAATGGTGAAGAAACTGCGAGGCGAGGTCGACCAGTCAGTGTGTCTCGATCATTTAAAAACAGATGGTGGTGGAGGGTAACTTCCAGCCGGCGTCACGACCAAATACCCCCGTCGAATCAACAAGTTGGATCCCACATCGGCGGCTAGAAGCTAGCTACTGCACGTCCCATGTTTGTCAACAAGCGCAACACGGGAAATGTAATTTCTTCAGCCAGAAGTGAAGACATTCAGGTCCAAACGAGTGTCGACTGGTCGTGAGCAGCGAGTAACATCGAGGACGGCGGGGGTTACAGCCAGGTTCTGTTACGTTTGGGCCAGCTAGCTGCCTGAGCTAGCTAGAAAAAAAAAGTTGGAACAACGGTTGTGTTGAAGCAGATACCAGGCAGCTCCGAGGGCTACAAAACTTTCGGGCCAAACTTATTCCCGGACAAGTCTTGACCCTTCCAACTCAAACGAAGCGACCCAAAAATACTTCCTCTAAGAGATTCCTGGCAGAGGATCCCTAAAACGAAAGCGTGTGAAACGGTAACATGGCAGGTGAAAAATTAAAATGTAGCGCTGCTGCTGCTAGCTGGTTAGCTCGAGTGGTTAAGGCAACGTTTAGCTTCTCATCCAGCGACGCAGTGGCGGCGAGTGCCAAAGAGCAGCCCGCAAAAAAGCTCCCAAATCCACGCAAATTACCGGTGCTCTTTCTGACGTTGCGTGATTGAAATAAGGTCGTTCACCAGTGCGGCACTGCGGTGAGACAGCTCGTCCTGTCTGTCGGTGCGCCGACAAAATATCCGAGCAGCGACCAGCCGACGGAAGCAAAGGGGGACCCTCAAGTTGTAGAATCCATTATTGGTGAAGCGGGGCTTGCTGGTGTGGAGGTGCGAGTCACGGGCGGCGGCAGGGGGGAGAACGACGAGGAGCTTCGCCCGAAAGCTGTCTATGATCCTGCCCTGATACCGGAACAAGCTCGCAGCAACATGGCTGCTTGCACCACGACTGAAAGAGGAGAGTTGAGGAAAGGGAGGGAGTTGTGAAGCGTTCGGCTTTGTTCGTTTTTCCGAAAATTCTCTGACTCACCACCATTCCTCCAGGCTGGAAAACAGCAGGTGCAGACACGGATAAACTCGGGATTCAAAGACTCATTCCTGCTCTAGTCATCTCAGATGGTTTTGTCTAGTTCTGACTCTGACTTCTAAATAAATAAACGATCCACTCCGAGTCGTGAATATGCTTTTATTTAAACTTACCTTTTAAGATCAGCCTCTTCTGATTGATCTTGTAGTTTTCACCGAACTTCTCATAAACGCATCACCATTCAGTCCCATATTATTTATAAAGCACGTTTTAAAACAGCGTGACAGCTGACCACAGTGCAGTAAAAGGACAGTAAAACAACCGCAAATACTAAGTTCAATTTCACACGTTATACAGAAAATAAAACCAATCAAAATCAAGATAAAAGAAGTGGGCTGTTATCACGACTGAGCTACGGTATTATCTATTAATCATGGCTAAATCTCACACATGTAGTAAGCCATATATAATATAGTTGCATCATTATGACGTAGCACATACAATGAATAAAAAATACACATACTTTGATTTGCATATACAAAACTTACAATTTCATTGTTACGGCTTACTATATCAGACAAATGACTCAGTGTCTAATAATAATGACTTGGTATGATATTTGTACAATCACAATGCAGTATCTCATTGTTCTGACTTGGTGTGACAAAACTTAATATCTCATAATCATGACTTCATCTCACACTGTTGACTTTGTCTCATTTGATTGCTTTGCATCTCGTTATGACCACATATCGCATCATTATAACTTCTTACATTTTTATTACTTAGTCTCTCATCATTATGACTTAGATAATGAATACATAGTATTCCATTCTTATGATTTACTCTCATCGTTAAGATGTAGTGTTGCACATGATGACTTAGTTTCGTATATTAGTAATTTATATATATTTTTTATTTACATAATTATCATTAGTGTTATAACTGTGACCTACCATCTATTTGTTTTGACTTATGACACAATTATCAGTTAAAACCTCACATTCATGACTTTGTATCACATTGTTATGAATTAGTCCCTTACTATTATGACCTCATATCCCATCATTAAACTTATTAGTAACACTTTACAATAATGGTCCCTTCATTAACATTACTTAGTGCATTATTAAGCATAATTAAACAAAGGGTCCCTTTATTAACATTACTTAGTGCATTATTTAGCGTTAATAAAGAAAGGGTCTCTTTATTAACATTACTTAGTGCATTATTAAGCATAATTAAACAAAGGGTCCCTTTATTAACGTTACCTAGTGCATTATTTAGCATTAATAAAGAAAGGGTCTCTTTATTAACATTACTTAGTGCATTATAAGCATAGTTAAACAAAGGGTGCCTTTATTAACATTACTTAGTGCATTATTTAGCGTTAATAAAGAAAGGGTCTCTTTATTAACATTACTTAGTGCATTATTAAGCATAATTAAACAAAGGGTCCCTTTATTAACGTTACCTAGTGCATTATTTAGCATTAATAAAGAAAGGGTCTCTTTATTAACATTACTTAGTGCATTATAAGCATAGTTAAACAAAGGGTGCCTTTATTAACATTACTTAGTGCATTATTTAGCGTTAATAAAGAAAGGGTCTCTTTATTAACATTACTTAGTGCATTATTAAGCATAATTAAACAAAGGGTCCCTTTATTAACGTTACCTAGTGCATTAATAATAATAATGCATTGAACTTATATAGCGCTTTTCAAGACACCCAAAGACGCTTTCACACACTCTCACATTCACACACTGCTAGTGATAGTAAGCTACTTGTAGCCACAGCCGCCCTGGGGAGGTCTGACAGAGGCGAGGCTGCCATTTGGCACCGTCGGCCCCTCTGACCACCACTAACACAGGCAAGCTGGGTGAAGTGTCTTGCCCAAGGACACAACAGCAGGATACACCTGGCGGGAGCTGGAATTGAACCCATGACCCTCCGATCATGAGGCAACCCGCTCTACCACCTGAGCTACTACTGCCCTACTGCTCTTTATTAACATCACTTAGTGCATTATTAAGCATAATTAAACAAAGGGTCCCTTTATTAACGTTACTTAGTGCATTATTAAGCGTTAATAAAGAAATGGTCTCTTCATTAACATTACATAGTGCATTATTAAGCATAGTTAAAAAAGGGTCCCTTTATTAACGTTACTTAGTGCATTATTAAGCGTGAATAAAGAAATGGTCTCTTCATTAACATTACTTAGTGCTTTATTAAGCGTTAAAAAAGAAATGGTCTCTTTATTACTGATGGGGATGTGGGGTATTGAATGGTGCTGTTGTGTTGAATGTTCTGATGGCCCAAGGGAAGAAGCTGTTGGAAAGTCTGGTGGTATGTGATTTAACTGACCTGAAGCGGCGCCCTGAGGGCAACAGGTCAAACAGGCAGTGGGCAGGGTGGATGGGGTCACAGAGGATAGCAGTGGTTCTCTTCAGGCAGCAGGTTCTGGAGATGGCCTCAAGGGATGGCAGGGTACAGCCAATAATCCTCTGGGCAGTGTTTATTGTCCTCTGAACAGCCTTCCTGTCCTCAGCAGTGGAGCCTGCATACCACACACTCAGAGAATAGGTGAAGGTGCTCTCCACGGAGCAGTGGTAGAAAGCCAGCAGCAGTTTCTGATCCAGGCCACACCTTCTCAAGACCCGGAGAAAGTGCAGCCGCTGCCGAGCCTTTTTAACCAGAGCTCTGGTGTTGGCAGACCAGGACAGGTCAGCAGAGATGATGGTGCCGAGGAACCTGATGGAGGGGACACGGTCCACACGCTCTCCATTTATGAGGAGAGGGGCATTTGTGTGACTGTGTCTCCTGAAATCCAGAATGAGCTCTTTTGTTTTTTGTATATTCAGAGTGAGGTTGTTATCTGAGCACCACCTTGACAGATTACTGACCTCTGCCCGGTATGCTGCCTCATCTCAGGATGTGATGAGGCCAACCACAGTGGTTTCATCAGCAAACTTGAAGATGGCAGTGGATGGGGTACAGTCCGATGTGTACATGTGCACAGTAGGGGGCTCAGTACACAGCCCTGAGGAGAGCCAGTACTGAGCAGGATGGAGGAGGAGAGATGGGAGCCAAGTTTAACATGCCGTGGACAATTTGTGAGAAAGATCTGAAGGCTCAGCAGTTTTGAGATAAGAATGTCTGGGATGATGGTACTGAAAGCTGAACTGAAGTCAACAAAGAGCATCCTGACATAGCTTCCTCTGGTCTCTAGGTGGCTCAGTGTTGTGTGCAGCGCCTGGGCGATGGCATCCTCTGTTGATCTGTTTCCCCGGTAGGCAAACTGAAGAGGGTCGAAGGAAGTGGGGAGACAGGTTTGGATGTGGTTGGAGATAAGTCGCTCCAGACACTTTGTGATTACAGGTGTGAGGGCAACCGGACGATAGTCATTTAAGCTGTCTATGGAAGATTTTTTGGGGAATGGAATAATTGTTGCATACTTGAGGCAGCTTGGGACTGAAGCATGAGACAGGGAGAGGTTAAACAACTTGGTGAAGATACCTGCCAGCTCACTGGCACACTCCTTGACCACGATCCCCGGTATGCCTTCTGGTCCGGCAGCTTTCCCGGGGTTTACTGCTCTCAAGGTTCTTCTCACCTCATGTTCCTGGAGGATGAGAGAGTGAGGAGTGGGGTTTCTCGTGTTGTGGGGGGGTTGTAAAAGTGGGTGGGCAGTGGTTTCAAAACGAGCAAAGAAGTTGTTTAGCTCCTCTGCCTGTGTTCTGCTGCTGCCAGTGTTGGACTGAGTGTGGCCTCTGTAGTTGGTCAGAGTCTGGATCCCCTTCCACATCTTCCGGGGATTGTTGTTGAGAAAGAGGTCTTCTATTTTCCTCCTGTAGACTCTCTTTGCCTGGTGAATGCCCTTCCTCAGACTAGTTCTGGCTGTGCGGTATAAGCTGCTGTTACTTGACTTGAAGGCAACATTGCTGGCTCTGATTAGAGCCCGGACCTCTGATGTCATCCAGGGTTTCCTATTTGGGACGATCCGAATCTGTTTGGTCACTGTGACATTTTCTACACAGGTTCTGATGTAGGATAGCACCGTCTCTCTGTGTGCCCCCAGGTCCTGTTGTTCAAACAATCTCCAGTCTGTGCAGGCAAAGCAGTCCTGTAGCTGTGGGAGGGCTTCAGCAGGTAAGGTGGTGATGGTGTGTGTTGTGGGCTTTGCTTGTTTCCTGAGGGGAGTGTAAGCTGGGATGAGAAACATGGAGAGATGGTCAGACTGTCCAAGATGGGGAAGGGGTGTAGCTCTATAAGAATGCTTGATGTTGGTATATACACGGTCCAGTGTATTTTTACCCCGGGTTGCAAACTTGACATGTTGGTGGAGTTTGGGGAAAACAGTCTTTAAGCATGCTGTATTAAAGTCCCCAGCTATTATGTGTACTCCCATCTGGATGAGCCTGCTGCTGTTTGGTTAAAAAGTGATGAAGCTGGATGAGTGCAGCGCTAACGTTAGCATTAGGTGGGATATGAACAGCAGTAGCAATGACTTGCGCCAGCACCCGTGGCAGATAGAATGGTCTGCAATGGACAGACAGAGCCTCCAAGTCAGATGAGCAAAAGGTGTTTATTACTCTGCTGTTTCGGCACCAGTCTTCATGCACATAAACACAGAGTCCTCCTCCTCTGGTCTTACCGGAGCTTTTATCCCGATCATAGCGATGGAGCACATAGCCGGTTAGCTCAACGCTGGCGTCTGGAATGTGCGGGTGGAGCCAGGACTCTGTAATAATCAGCAAACAACAATCACAAATGGTGTGGTTGTAAGACCCTTACCAATCTGGGTTCAAAAAGGGCCACTCCACTGAAACTGCTCTGTTAGCAGTGACTGAATCCTTAAAAGAAGCTAGAGCGACAGGCAAATCCTCAGTGCTTATCCTGCTCGACTTATCGGCAGCATTTGACACTGTCAACCATGGC